AAAGTTTTGCCTGGCTCTGGAAAATTATAGCTCCTGATTTATTCTGTACCGGTTAGCTCTGAGAACAAAAGCAAAGAAGGATGCATTTTCCTCTCCAGCACCCGGAGACAAAGCACAAATTCCTGTCTCACATTAAGGGAACTATCCTGCCTCCCAAACAAGGGTCTGTTCCAAACACTTACTCACATTTCAGTGAGTCAGAAGGAAACAGACAGATATTCATCTCCCTGAAACCTGGCTGACTTCCCACAAGACGTCTGTGAGGAGCGTCAAGGTTGTGTGTCAGGGTTAGTGAGCAGCCCCCTAAGAGCTCTCAGGTGATAGCTGGAGTCTTAGTAAGCAGGTGAGTACCAAAGACAGGTCAGAAAAAAAATGCCTTCAAGTGTTTGTCAGGATTAGTAAGTAGAGTTAGTAAGCCATAGATAAGAAAACAGGAAAGAACCTGGGGTTATACATTTTGGGTTCAGAGGTGTTGAATTTTAGGTCACGACCATCAGCAATAACATCTGATGACTGCCAATTTAATACTCTAAAAATTCAAGACTTCGGCCCTACCTATGGTGAAGAAAAGCATTTGATTTTTACTGATTAATTAAGCCCTGCCCACACTGAGCCACTTTGCTTCCTAGTGGCAATATCCCAGACATCCCACCCTGCTAATAGCGGCACTCCCACCCGGTGCAGATCTGGAATGGCGATAATAATAATGATTAGACGGACAACTCCTTAAGCTTAATTTATGAAAACATTTGCTTACTTCACATAAGTAGTCATTGAAAGAATTCTGGTTTCAGCAATGTGCTGGGGAATTTGTGGGTGAGTTTTAGGATGAAAAATAAGATTTAGAGAAGAAAAGTGAGTATCTTATTTCTTAGGTTTGTAAGTAAAAATCTCACATCTAGATTTCTCTTTCCAGTTCTGAGACAGAAATCATGGAAGGAAATGGTCACGATGCGATATAGACAAAGAACAAGAGTCACCGTTCGTACATGGGCTCCCACCCTTCTCTCTGTTCTTGAGGTAAATCTCCTAAATTCAGTAATTAAATGAGCTCTTTATTATCTTGGAGGAGAAGAATGAATGATGATCTCTCTCTCACACACACATACACACAGGGCGCTCTTGCAGCAGGTATTGCTTAAATATCACCTCGGATAATCACAACTTGTGAGCAGATCTTCTTTCCTGATGACTTGTTTTCTAACCTGGTAATTCTGCGCTTATTTTTGTCCCTTTCTCCACCCTCTCAGGAGAGACGGAAAAGGCGACGCACCGCGCGGCCCCTAGGAAGTGTGTGCGGTTTAGCTCGCGGCTCCCCCTGCCAGGAGCCCCGGGCGGCGAAGGGCTGCGGAGGCGCCAGGTTCTCCCGGGGACCTGGGGGTTCTCCTGCGGGCCGACCACAGGCTGTGGGGGGCGGAGAAGCGACAGGGCTGGCGCTTTTCCGTCGGCTGTGCCGGGCCAGTCCAGTCCAGGACAGGAAGGGCCGCCAGGCGCGCCGTCCCCGTCCCCACCACCTGCAGGCTGCGGGGCTGGGCCGAGCGAGGGAGTCAAGGTGCGGCCGGGGGCGTGGCGAGCGGAGGTGCAGCCGCGGGGCGCGGGCCGGGGCTGGGCGGGGCCCGGGCAGATCCGGAGTTTGCCCCGGCGGGAGGGCGGGCCGGGGCGGGCCCTCGGCGCCCCAGGAGCTGCCGGGCGACTTTCCCTGCTCTCACCCGAGCGGGGGAGAGAAGCCCTCTGCACAGCTTCGGAGAGTCTCCGGGTTCTTGAGTCTCTCAGCCAAGGCTCTCCTCTGCAGACCCGAGCAGCTACGGTCCCCGGGGCAGACCGAGGATGGGGCCAGCACAGCCAGGGGGCGCGCCGCTGCTGCTGTGGCTGCTGTGTGCGCTCAGTCAAGGTAAGCCGGAGTGTGCTCGCCATCGGTGCCGGAGGGACCTGCGCGGGTCCGGGGAGCGGAAGGAAGGAATTGGAAGAACAAGGAACCGGCCGCCAAAAGCCCCCCCTGGAATCCAACGGGCCCCCGCCCCCAACCAACCCCAACCGGGGGGAAAAACCCCCCAAGCCCGCCCGCCCCAAAAAGCCGGGCCCAACCCCCCCGGTAAAAAACCCCCAAAAAAACAACCTCCAAAAGCAACCCAAACAACCCCTTGGGTTTAAGGAAAAAAAAAAAACCAACCCCAAAACGGAAGGGAATGGGGATTAGCGGGTGTCCTGGAGATCGCGAATCCTGCAGCCCAACTTGCCCTGGCTCACACAGGTGCCGTGCCTGCCAGCGACCGGGAACCCGGAATCCAGTGCTGGTCGGCAGCCTGCAGCTCCCCAGCGCGATGCCTGGTGGCTTTACAGAAGACTCTGAACCCCACATGCTTATTTTTCTACCCAAGGGCGTGAATAATGACCCCGTTTCTTAGTTCAGACGAAGCGCTGGTGTTTCTTCCCATAGGGTACATGGAATAAACCAAGCGTCTCTTAAATACTTGGCAGAGGGGAATTCTTCCTTCCCTTCTGCCTTCCTCTTGTTGTAACGTCATATATTCAACGAATATAAGTTAAGGCCAGGAAAAGTTCTTCCCACTGATCATAGATGAGGCGTATAGAAGTAACTGGAGCAGCAGCTCCAACTGCAGTGCTGTGTGAGCAGGGCCCGCCCACCGCCTGACTTCTTTTGCACTAAGTGGGAAATAAAGTTGGGAGTGGGGAGCTATTGTGTGACCGTACCAAGTATTTGAGTACGTTTCCCCCAACCTTTATGCAGAGCCTAAAGTGTGCGTAAGTTTAATAACTTCGATTTACTTGGGGGGAGAAGAAGTCACATTTGTACCTTGTGGTTGGAACAAATATCAAAACAAAAAATCATCTGATTTTCAAGTGCTTTTTTTACAAAGAAGAGAAATATTTTCTAAGCTGTCGTCCTTTGAGGCTGACATTTCAGCCAGTTACTATTCTTTAATGTGGAAGAATCCTAGTCCATGTCGACCTTGTGGCGTTTTGTCTAGGTCGCAGATAAGAGAATTAGCACCACCATCCCCACCCCCAGCAAATAATGGACATCCTTGGGTTTTCTGTCTAACCTGTATGTGGTGCTTCATAGATATTCTCTTCTGGGGCCACAGGAGCTGTTTTGAGGGGCCATCAACCCTAATCTAGGAGTTTCAGATA